CCACAGACCGGGGATGGCAACCACCTAGAGGTGTGAGGGAAACTTCAGACTCGTAACATCTGAACCAGGCCATGAAAAACCCAGGAGTCTGGCAAATGAAGGCTTCATAAGCTTAAGATTCAAAGTTAAACTACCATAGGCGCCTTTACTGTGCAGTGCGTTAAGACTTTATGTGCAAATCTTTCAAGGGTTTAAGTTTCATTTCCTTCCATAACAAGTTCCAAGTTCAGTTTCTATTATTATGTTGCTGCTTTTTTATGTAAATGAGTATTTTATACCTGCATGTATGTAAGTGCATCCCATGTGTGCAATGCCAGTGGAGGCCAGAAAAGGATATCAGGTAACCTAGAACTGGAGTTACAACGGTTGTTAGGTACCATAAGGGTACTGGGAACTGAACCCCAGTCCTCTGCAAGAGCAGTCAATGCTTTAACCACCGAGCCATCTCTCCAGCACCCATCTTCAAAGCAACCACACTAACAAAACTAGTACATTATATCTGGTTTGGTTGAGAGATTCTGAGGGGCCTGACTTCTTTAGAAGCTTAACCTTCTTTTTTAAAAATTTATTTATTCATTTTTATTTTATGTGTATTCGTGTATTGCCTGCATGTACATAAGTGCACCTGTGTCGTGCAATGCCCGCGAGGACAGAAGAGGCTGTCGGATCCCCTGGAACCGGAGTTACAGACAGTTGTTAGCTGCCATGTGGGTGCTAGGATTTGAACCCGGGTCTTCTGCAAGAACAACTAGTGTTCTTAACCACTGAGCCATCTCTCTAGCCCAGAATGTTTGATTTTTTAAAATTGCTGTTTGGAGTTGCTGACTTGAGTTTCATTTTAAAAAGCCATTAAGTGAATTCTGGCTTGGGATTAGGACAAAGTTCCAACAATTTCTGAAATGGCCATAAACAAGCTTCTACCATTTTGTACTACATTCTCAGCACCAGTGATTATAAAATCAAAACACTGATCACTTCCAAAAAATGCTGAAGATGTTCTGTGTCCCGTGGTATCAAATATTCAGCCATTACATATTTCTTTATGTAAAAATAGCCGAGCACATCCATCTCATTAGTACGCAAATTTGCTCTCATCTTTAACAAATGGTAAAATTACATGTATACCAAAGAATTGTTTGAATGTGAATTTCTTGGAGCCAGTGAGATGGCTCAGCAGAGTCGGCTCAGGGACCCACACAGAAGGAAAGAACCCACTCCTGTAAGCTGTCCTCTGACCTCCACATGCACACCAGGGCACATGCACCAAATACACATAAATAAGTGAATGTATTTAAAAAATTTTTAATTTCATGATTTATTTTCAGTAAATGTGTTACCTGTTTCATATACAATTACTTAGGCAAAAGTGGTCACAAGTGGAAAAAGTTAAAAGCCCTGATACATCCTCAATGGGCCATTTAGAGACACTCCACACTTGGCAGCCTTAAAATTTCAGACAGCTCAACCTAGTTTTTGCCATACCGCCTGTTGGGAGTCACAGTCCTCCATGAGGGCCACAAAGAATAAACAGGACTACAGGAAGCCGCACTATCCATTCAGCCCAATTAATCCAGCAAGGTTGGGTACATTGACTAACTAAAGGCACCTGCAGGCTTAGGACAGTACAGCAGGAGCTGGCCAACCCCAGGACAGCTTTGCGTCTCCTGAGACTCTCAAGGTCAAGGGCAGAGGAAAAAAAATCTGGGTCATACAAATTTCTTTTGCCATCTGAGTTCAGTGTGGTGGCTCTGGATGTGCTCAAGCCCTGACTTGAGTCATACTCTCTGTTCCTGCTGAGGATATGTCTTTAAAACTTATCTCCTAAACTCTAAGTTTCATGAGGCGGAAGGGACAAAGGAAACTTTTTAAAAACAACCAACTAAAATGAAATCATGCTGTATGACAACATGGGCAGCACTATAGATCTACTTTTATTGACGTAAGTAACTTGAGAGAGCTGCCTAGTATTTAATTCTTCAACAGGATACATCTGAACATTTGAGCACATAATTTTAACTAAAAATTGAAACTTCATTCTTGAATGATTCATATTAAACACTGATGGTTATTTCTTTTCAAAAAAGAATACATTAAAAAAGGAAATAAAGTGGCTGGAGAAATGGCTCAGCAGAGGCTCTTGCAGAGGACCCAAGTTTGAATCCCAGCAACCCACATGGCAGCTAACAACCATCCATAACTCCAGTTCCAGGGGATCTGGTGTCCTCTTCTGACCTCTGAAGGTACTACATGACACTGGTATACTTAACCTACATGCAGGCAATACATTCATATGCATAAAATAAAAATAAAATATTAAAAAGGAAATAAAATTAAAATAGAACATAAAGCATACTTTCAGTCCCAGCACTTGGGAGACAGAGGCAGAAGTGAGATTGAGACCACTCTTATCTATATAATGTGTTCCAGGCCAGCTAGGGCTATAGGAAAAGACTGTCTTGAGAAGGAAAAAAAAGAAAAAATTAAAAAATAGCACAGAGCCAGGCATGGTGGCACACGCCTTTAATCCCAGCACTCGGGAGGCAGAGGCAGGTGGACCTCTGTGAGTTCAAGGCCAGCCTGGTCTACAGAGTGAGTTCCAGGCAGCCAGAACTACAGGGAGACCCTGTCTCAAAAAGACCAAAAAATAATAATATCGTAGTCAAATTGTCTTCTCTTACAGTAGTTTTATGATATGAAAGCCCCTTGAACCAAGTAAACAAAAGTGACAATTTCTAATGTCATTATTTTTCTTACCGTGGTGTAATTTGAACTGCACATGCAGTTAATGTTTTCCTAAATTACATCCTCCAAATATCAGCAAATGAAAGACTTGAAGAAAACTTGCCAATCATCAATTTGTACTTGAGGTAGTGACGGATTCAATGTATAACTTGTCTTTACTAATGCACAAAATGCTCATCTTATCTGATAATTCCTTTGAATACACCTTTGAAGTACTTTAACTACATTAACATAACTTCAGAGGATACTAAAGTCACTAACCACCCACAGACTACAGTAGGTACAGTATCTGAAGGGCATGTAACAAGTGCTTAAGTAACAGGTTCACCTTGATCCTATTACAATGCTGCTGGCTCTGACTTTAGCTCAGTCAGAAAACTGGTTTCTTAGTTTAGACATTATTCAAGCAAAGGTTGCTTTTTAAGTATTTAACAAGATTAAGAACAGCAATGTG